TTTCCATATTTAAAAACAAAAAGTAAATGAACAAAAGAAGTTTTACTTGTTTTCTTGAAGGCATCTTCCTTAGTGCCACATGTTATTCTGTGGTCTGAACTGGGTCTTTTCCAGGCCTACTGAATATCTGTCATCTTGGTACTTTCCTTGTCATCTTGGAAATTTTCTTCTCTTCCCTCCATTGTTTGATCCCCAGTTTCCTAGATTCTGTGTTTTTCTATTTCTTGGTTTACTCCTTGTTTTGAGGTAGCACAACTTCAGTAGTTTTCTGATTAAAGGTACATAGGACATATGTTTTTGGAGTTCTTATATCCATGAAATTCTCTCCTTTATTCTTGACTGTTAGATTGGAACAGGATTCTAAATTGGAAATTATTTGGAGAATGTATTCCCCCTCCCCCACTTTTTTTTTCCTTGTTGCTTTTGGGAAATTGAATACTATTTAATTCCTGATTGTTTTTAAGTTACCTCCTGTTTCTTTCCCTCACCTTTCCCCTCCCTCCCCCCAGAAGCTTATAGGGTCTTTTCTTTATCCCTGGTGTTCTGAAATTTCACAGTAATGTATCATGCAGTTAGTCTTTTTTGATACATTGTGCTGGGTACTTGGGCTCTTTTAATTGGGAACAGAAGAATGTCTTTAAGTTCTAGGAAAATACTATGTACTATTACTTGGATAGTTTTTTCCTCTTCACTGTTTTCTCTACAGTTCACATTACTCAGATATTGGTCCTCCTAGACTTCTCTAATTTTCTTACTTTTTGTCTTGTATTGTCCACATATATGTCTTCCTGTTCTACTTTCTGGAAGATTTCCCCAACTTTTTTAAACTATTAAAATCTTTAATTATCAAGAGTTTTTTCTTGTTTGTTGATGGTACCTTTTTAAATATTCTGTTTAACATTCTTATATTTGAAGATCTCTGTACTCTAAACATTTTCACTCTTTAGTATATACCCAACAGAAATATATGCACATGTATGCCAGGCAACATGTATAAGAATATTCATATCATCATTATTTGTAATAACCAATATGGGAAACAACCTAAGTGTCAGCAGTAAATGGATAAATTACAGTTTATTTTTATGGTAGAATACTACACGGTGATTAAAAAAGAATAAATTATGACTAAATACAACAGTGTGGATAGATCTCACCAATATAATATTGAACAAAGGAGCCAATCAGCAAAAAAAAAATCATACTTATAGAAAGTTAAAAATAGGTATTGACTTACATTCCTGTTTTATTCATTCTTCTCTATATGTGTTTTATCATGTTATACTTTATTGATTTATTGATGGATTATTTTGTTTTTAAGTTCTAATTGGAAGCTCTGTGTGCCTATGTGAAACAGGTCTACTGACTATGGAATGACCTAGCTGTATCCTTTGGAGACCCTCACTCCCTATGTCTGTTATCATAACCGTATCTTTGATTGTTGATCTCCTTAGTCTGTCAGTTTCTCTAAAGAGCAGCGTTTTAATTTTTTGCTGGTGAGGTATATATTTATATATATATATATTGCAAGAATTACCAAAATGTGACAGAGAGACATGAAGTGAGCACAAGCTGTTGGAAAAATGGTGCTAATAGATTTGCTTGATGCAGGATTGCCACAAACCTTCAATTAGTGAAAACATAGTATTTGTGAAGCACAGTGAAATAATGCATGACTCTATTTTGTTACCTTAAGGATCTTTTCATTTCTGTGAACTTCTTTTGCATATGTGTACTGCTTTTATTTGTACTCATTAAACAGCTTTGTAAAATATATATGATATATGTATATAAATGTGTCCATATGAATATACATCTATATGTAAAATAAATACATATGTAAAATATATACATATAATTTGTTAGGTCATAGGAATTTTATTCTAAGTTAATGGCTTGGATCAGAAACATTTATAGACTGTAAAGAATACATTTACATAAAATAGTTAATGTTTGGTATTTAGGAACTTTGATACATGTTTAATATAAACAACCTTGTTGAATAATTTTCTTTCTTGTATTCTTATAAGGCTACAAGGTATTTATAATTGAGCTCTAGATATAATATTAATTATTGAGTGAATACAGTGTGATATATTGCTTTATATAATTTTAAAATTATGAAGTAACCACATTATTCAATATATCACTTGATTTTTAATCAGATACACATAGGATATAAATACATATAATATGTGCTTGAAGTAAAAATGGAATTATTTTCCTGAGAACATCCCTTATACATACTGGTTTAAAAAAATTGGAATAATTTAAACTTTGCCCTGCTTTGAAAAGTAAATTAATCTGAAATTAACATTTTAATCAGAGTTACAGATTGTATTTACAGAATGTATTCATGACTGTGGTGATTTATCTATAAATTTTTTAATACTTAGAGATATGTCTTCATCATCTGAAGAATCATCCAATGAGATTTTATTTCTTTAGCAGATTTTTTTACTGTGTTCATGACAATATTATGGTTAATGTGCAATTCATTAGCAAGTCACAAATTAGCTCTCTAAATCTGCTTGTGTTTGTGGTAGGATTTTCACTTGTCTATTCACAAAATCACTCACCTGGTCTATATAGCTCCTAGTATATAGTTGTACTTCTGCCTGCAGTTGGGTGTGGCAATGGAAATTATTAAAGATAACTGGTTTTTCCATTAAAATGAAGTTCTAACCAGTTGAATTTTAAATTTAATGTGAAAACAGTAAGTGTATATGGGATTTGGCCACTTTTCAATATCCGATGTTTTAGTTGGAGAAATAATAGAACATTTCTTACCAGTTGTCTTGAGTGGAAGAATGCACAGTCTTTGTGGCCTGGCTTCATGTTTGAATGTAAGTTCTTCCAAATTCCATTTAGAGATAACTTATACAAAATAATTTTAGTTATTTAACTTTTTAGAGATAGAGATTTTATTTTTTTAAAGCAAAATTTTAGGGCTGCTTTTAGCTGAGGAACAAAATCTTGGTTAATTTTTGTGTAGATACAAATGTCTACAAATGCTTCTCCATAAATTTCTGTGGCTATTAAAATGGAAAATAGCTAAAGCCCATGAGTTAGGAAAGTAAAATTGTGGGAAATAAAACACTGTTTCAAATTATGGCATAGTCAGTGGAAAGAACAATAGAACTTATTTAAAGAAATCTGTTCGTTAGTCCTTATGCCAGGATCACACTTTCTTAGTTCATTTTGTGCGGCTATAGCAGAATACCACAGACTGGGTAATTTATAATGAATAGAAATTTATTGGCTCAGTTCTGGAGGCTGGGATGTTCAATATCACGGTGGCATCTGGCAAGGGCCTTCTTGCTGCATTACAACATGGTAGAAGGTCTCATGTGGCAGAAGGGCGAAAGAGAGCAAGAGGGTGCGACCCCGGTCCCACTGATAATGGCATTAGTCCGTTCATGAGGAGCCCTCAGAATCTAAACACCTCTCAAAGGTCCCACCTCCCAACACCATAACATCGCAATTAAATTTCAACATGAGTTTTGGAGGGAACAAACATTCAAATCAAACCATGGCACACTGTCTTGATTACTGTGATTCGTTTTGTCTTCTTCCAACTTTGCGTTTTGTTTTTTTTTTTAAACAATGCTTTGGCTGATCTCTAAGTTCTTTGTATTTCCATATAAAGTTTGTCTTTTTTTTTTTTTTATTGGAAATCCCCTTATCTTCTATGTTGATTTTTATAATGCAGAAAAACTGGTGAGATTAATTCAATTTTTAAAAATAGGCATAGGTATATATAGATTTTCTGTTATCTTTGATTTTTTTTTTTAGGTATTTGTCCATTCCATGTAAATTGTCAAATTTATTTGCATGAAGTTGTTTATATTTCCTTATTAGCCTTTTAATTCCTCTAGATCTTGTATTATCTATTGCTTCATAACAAATTATCCCTAAACAGCAGCTTGAAACAACCAGCATTTTTTATTCTCATAATTTCTTTGGGTCAGGAATCATAGCTGGGTGCCTGTGGCTCAGGATTTCCCACAATGCTGCAATCAAGGTTCAGCCAGGGCTCTAGTTATTTCAGGGCTTGACTTGGAGAGGATCCTTTTCCATGCTCTCTCACATGGATACAGAATTCTGGATTGACACTTATTTCCCCCTCTCATCACATTAAAAATGTCTTTCTACTGTGCCTTGGCCTTCATTGTTTCTAGTAACAAGCTAGTTGTTTTTATATTGTATTGTATTTTTGTATTTCTGCGAGTGCTTTCAGGATTTTCAGGATCTTTGGTTTTCAGCTGTTTATGATGTACCTAAGTATCGTTTTCTTTGTATTTATCTTCTTTGGGGTTTGCCAAAATTCTTGAATCTTTAAATTGATGTCTTCCACCAAATTTGGGGAATTTTTGGCCATTGTTTCTTTAAATATTTTTGTTTCCCATATCTCTCTCTGCTTCTGGGATGACAATTATACATATGATAGACCTTTTGATATTATCCCATAAGTCACCATGGCTGACTTATTTTTTTTCAACCAATCATTTCTTCTCCCTGTTCTTCATATTCAAACAATGTACTGACTCTTCAGTTCATTCAGTGAATTTTGTTTTTTAAATTGTGATAAAAATTCTTGATTTCCATTTTATTCTTTTTTATAGTTTCTTTTCCTTTGCTGAGCTTACCTATTCTTTAATTCATTCTGAACATTTATTGTTTATCTGAGGCATAGTTTGAATAGCTATTTTAATATCATTGCTAATTTCAACATTTAGGTTATCTCCAGTTGGTTTCCATTGATTGCTTTTTCTTATGGCATAGTTTTGATTATTTTACAATTGACAGCAAGAATCTGACATCACAGTGGAAACTGTAATTATATAATATCATTGTAAAATTTTTGTTATATATTCTCGATGTTATACATTGTTAATATATAACAATAATGTTACACATTAGTGTTCTCTTATAACTTCTAGAATGTCCTTTTACAAAATGGATGTTTTAACATGCTCTATGCTTGCTTTCTGTTGCAGGGCATCTTCTCTACATTCAGTATCATCCAAGTCATTCCGTGATTTTTTAGTAGAAGAAAAAAAGTCTATGACTGGTCATAGTTCAGGAGATCATGTCAAAAAAGTTTGTTTTAAAGGAATTGAAAGTTCTCAGACTCCAAAAGTTGTAAGGTAATAAACTAAACTTAAAACTAATACATTTTCTACCTTAAAATAGTCTATGGTAGTTTTATGTCTGAAATAATCTTTAAAAATTTAAGTCAGATTTTTATACATTGTTTTACATTCGTAATTAAAATTAACATGTCTGTTCCCTTCCCCTCCTTTTTATTGAAGCAGTTATTGAGGTATAATTGGTTTAAAATAAACTTCATATATTTGAAGTATACATTCTGAAGTTTTGGCAAATGTATACACCTGTGAAACCGTCACCACATTCAGATAGTGAACATAATCATCATTCTCAGAAGTTTCCTCAGTGCTTCTTTGCAATCTCTTCCTCCCTTGCCTTTGTATCCACCCTGTTACCCTAGACACCCCCACCCTCCAGCAAGCAACTACTAATCTGCTTCTGTCGGTATAGGGTGTATATTTTAGAGTTTTATATCAGTGGAATCATACAATTATGTACTCTTTTTAAAATCTTTTACTCAGCAAAATTATTTTGAGATTCATTCATGTTGTGATGTGTATCAGTTGATTCCATTTTATTGCTAGATAGTATTTCATTGTGTGGGTATACCACAATTTGTTTATCTCTGTCGACAGACTTTTGGGTATTCCAGTTGTTTCTCTAGCTATTTTTGAGACTGCATTTTAAAGTTCAATATATTTTAAACAGATGTTTTGTATTTTAAATGCCTGCATGAAACATGAAATCTATCCATAATTTAAAAGCTATATTTAAAAACAAAATAGCTTCCCCAACATGGTGTGTAAATTCTCTTAATTGTTGTTCAAAAGGGAACATTCTTGGGGCATTAGAAGGGCCCATGTTGGAAGAAAAAAATATTTCAAGTTGTTTAACTTAATGGAGATTTTTTTCTTATGTCTGCTAATACAACTCCCAAAGATATTACTCCCTAGAATGTTTTAGACAAAACAAAAATGTGATTAAAAATACAGTTAAGACCGGGCTGATGTTCTGTTTTATGTAATGATAAACCCTTTATTTTACTCACTGTCAAACTTTTTTCTTTTCTACTAAACCCTTTCTATTAATAAAAATGAAATGTTATGTCCAATTCCATTGTATCAAACAGATAATATAAACTTCTCTGAGTAAAAGAGAGGGGACTGGGAAATATTCTAGTTTAACCTCACCTTATTTGCCTTGTAAACAACTCTGAGGAATTATCAGAGTCTTCTGACAATTGTTTGGAAACTACTGGTTTAGATGAAATGTTTAGACATATTTTTATTGTTGATACTGTGACTGGCTTCCTTATTACCAACATGTACGTTTAAGAGCAAAGTTCTTCAGCCATTTTCGTATAATACAGAAAATCAGAGATTAGAAAGGCTCTTAAGAAGTTATCTGGTCCACCTCCCTAACTTTACAAACACATTTAACAGTGGAATGCTATTTTAAAATAAAAATTTTAAATGGAGCTCTAACATAAGAAACAGATTAAGCCTTTTTTACATATTAATTTATACATTAAAATTTTAATGTTTATGATAGGCTAATCAATATAAAATTAGGTACAGTGTAAGACATTTGTAGTCTTAAAATTGGCAAACAAATATTTATTGATTATCTGCTTTACGTTGGACATTATGCTAAGTAATAGAGTTATAGTGGTGAACAAAATGAACATAGCCCCTACCTATAGAGAATTTACAGTCTAAAGGAGAAGAAAAACTTTAAACAAGTAATTAAATAAATAGAAGTACATACAGCATTATGAAGAAAAAGTATATTAGACTCAACAGTTTATTTCTACATTTTGTTTTAATTATCTAATACCAAGAAATCCTGACTGAGTTAAGTAAGTAGTTAAAAATGATTTTTTTTTTTTTTTTTTGAGACAAAGCCTCACTGTGTTGCCCAGGCTAGAGTGCCATGGCGTCAGCCTAGCTCACAGCAACCTCAAACTCTTGGGCTCAAGCGATCTTCCTGCCTCAGCCTCCCGAGTAGCTGGGACTACAGGCATGCGCCACCATGCCCGGCTAATTTTTTCTATATATTTTTAGTTGTCCAATTAATTTCTTTCTAATTTTAGTAGAGACGGGGTCTCACTCTTGCTCAGGCTGGTTTCGAACTCCTGAGCTCAAACAATCCGCCCGCCTCGGCCTCCCAGAGAGCTAGGATTACAGGCGTGAGCCACCGCGCCCGGCCTAAAAATGATTTTTTTGAATCAAACCCTCTTGGCATTCTCTAGGATTACTATTCATTTAAATAGAGATGGTAGAAGAAGCTTTGTTCTTGAATATTAAAACTAATATACCTGAGAATAGAAGTTAATATGCTGATAATCTTCAATGTATTAAAAGTATTTGAATGTATACTTTTTAAATTAGTTTCAAAAATGTATTTTGGGGAGAAAAATGAAATACTGACAAATGTTGGTTGAACATTTTATGGTAAACTGAAAACTACTGAACTGAAACAATTTAAAACTACCTAGTGTCTTATAAGTTGTTTTCTTAAAAGATGTTGAGGTAAGGGTATTTATTCCATTCCTAAGTGACAGGTAATCTCCTAGGGTTGTTAAATTCTCACAGTAAAAATGATGTTTATGTCTTACTACATTTGAGTGCCATTTTTACACATGCAAACATATATTCTTACATAATACATGTATATTTTATATATTCCATTAAGACATACATAATATGCATAATTATAATAAAATAAATGTTTTGAAATAGTCACTATGTATACTTCTCTCATTAGTATGTTTTTTTATCCCAGTCGAATTATTTTTTAATTAAATGAAAATCTTTTACATTTTTAAAAATTAAAAATTTTTTTTTAAAAGAATTGGGTACTTGGTATATCTTCTGTAATGACCCCAGTTTCATTTTTCCAAAATAATTATAATATTTTAAAAAATTGAATATAGTCCTTTTGATATAAGAAAAATATAAGAATTTCATTGGTTCTATTAGTTGTATAATAAATGATATCCTGTAGATCATGTTTTTAAATAGAAATGCATGTAACTTGTTTTCCTACTGTGAGACACACAAGTATGTCTCTATTTATATTCATCTTATCCTTCCTTCTTGTTTCGTAATAGAAAAGTTATCTCTCCTTTCTTAGGTCAATACCAGTGCTTTTATCTTAATCATTCCCACATTAGAAGCCTTAAACTATTAATTATTCCTTTCCTTTCTTGTATTTATTCAACTTTTTCCTTTTAACTAGATTCTTCCCACTGCTTTTGAATGTGCTCTCAGGTCTCTCTCATGTGGTCTGGGCATACTTTTTTCTAGCAGTTGCCCTATCATTACCAATTCTTCACCCCCTTCACAGCTTCTTAATACATTCTGGCTTCGAGCGCCATTACTGAACTGAAATAGTCCGGACAGAGTTCAGCAGTGACCTTCATATTGCCAACACCATGGACTTCTTATATGACTTACCACACTTGAAGTTCAGTTACAGGTCATCTTCTCATTTCACTTTATATTCTTTCTACACTTTCCATTTTATGAGCATATGTTCAGTTATCAGATGTCTACTAAAGACTCAAAATTTATGGCTCCTGCCCACATCTATCATCTAAGCTTTAGACTTAGATATTTAACTGTCTACCTGACCTTTCCATCCTATTTGGATGTTCAGAAACACCTCAAACTTTATGTCCAAAACCAAACAATGTTTTCCTCATACCACTCTCATAAAACCAAAATCAAACAAAAATACCAACAAAACATAAAACAGTCCATTCTTAATGAATTTTCTTCTTCAGTAAATAGCTTTTGCAAGTCTTTAACACCTCCATCTTCCTTACTAATAGTCTATCATTAGGGTATTCCAGTTTGTCTCTTAAATATTTCTCAAATCCAAACTTTATCTCCAATGCCTTCACCCTCATGCAGAGTACTGTGTTCTTACACTTGAGCCCTGTCTGGTCTTGTCATAGCCTTTCTTCCTTTACTCCAATATATTGAGCCAATGTATTCTTTTTAAAATACAGGGCTTACTGCTTTTACATTAAAAGCTAGAATTTTTGATGTGGCCTTCAAGGCATATCTGGTTCCTGCCAGCCTTCTTTAGCTTTATTTTGTAACATGATCTCTGTATTCTAGCCATCCTGGCCTTCTCTTAGTTCTCAAATATACTTCTTTCGACTTCCTTACTAACTTTGACTAATTGACTCTGACTCTTCCTTCAATTTCTATTCAGTCATATTCTTTAGAGAAGTCTGACTTACCTTACTGGAGCAGTTTCCTGTTGTATGTTCTCATAGGTCTTTTCCTTCATCATACTTTCTACAGTTGTAATTATTATTAATGTGATTCTTTAATGTTTGTCTGTACAAGTATTTTCATGTCTGTATATTTAACTGTGTTCAGTGAGAGCAAGGAAGATATCTCTCTTTGCTCATCATTGTTTCACCAGTGTTCAGAATGGTTCCAAGCATATAGTAGATGCTCAGTGAGCTGGTGAATGAATGAATAAATGAATTAAAACTGTAGCTGTTTCAAGTAAAATTTGTTGCTAATGTAGTGAGTTATATTGCATACCATACATATATAAATTTGAAGGTAAGAAAATTAAGATCATTTTTGTAGTATTTTTGCATTTTAAATACTAATGTCTATTGGAATTGTAAAATTTTCTTTGGATAAATAACTTACAGAACTCTTAAAATATTAAGGAGCTGTAGTTTCATACTTGATCACTAGAGTGTGCTATAACATCAGGGCTCTTAAATAGCTAGTTTTAAATAGCTGTGGCTATCACTTATAGTGATTCTGAGGACAAAAACATAACTTGAGTTTCAGTTTTTATTTAATCATAGAAAATATGTAATCAGAAGTAAGGTTTTTTTAAAAAAGGAAATATAAAATGTTACAAAGTAAAACATTAATTCAGCAAATTATGAGACACCTAATACTGGCCTCTGTTTCATGTATATAAAAGAATAATATACTTTAATGTGTTTGAAATCTAGTTGGTAACAAATATGCACACATAGAACTTAAATGACAAACAAGAATGAAATTTTAATACAATGTAACAGTAATAAAGAGGTCAGAAGGCAATATATGATTAAATGCCAAATGAGTGTTTCAGAGAAGGGAAAATGACAATGGGCTAGAGTTGTCAGGAAGACCTCAATGAGGAAGAAGGGCTTGTGTGTATTCAGTTCTAAATATTTCATCATCATGTTTATGACCATGTGAATAATATTAGAAAAAATAGGTCACTTAATTATCAGTCCCTTTCATTGTCACAAGCTTTTGAACATAGGATGGGAGTTTTAAGGAGAAATAAAAGAAAAGAGGAGTAGGGGTAGTATAAACAGAGGAAACAGTGGGAGTTAAAACAAGAAGATAGGAGCACTTATGATCCTTTGGGGGTTAGTATGGCAGGGATATGGGGGCTCATCTCAGAAAATTCCACAAATCATACATTCTTGTTTTACTTGTAGAAAATGTGTGTGTGTGTGTGTGTGTTTTAAGGCTAGGGCAAGAATGACAATGTCATTTGAGGGTGTGAAAGTGTAAAAGAGGGATTTGTGCAATATTTATTGTTACTTACATATTTTTTTTTATTTCATGTGTTTTCTTTCATTTTCCTTTCACTTAAATGCCCCCTTATGTAATTCTGGATGGAAAATGTGAGCTTGTGTTTTTAATTAGTAAGAAAAACTACTTGTGAGACAAAAACCATTCTGTGATTATATCAGTTCTAATCTTATATGAAAATCTTTAATTAAGCTATTACAAGTTTCTTTTTTAAAAAGCCCAACTGTATGAGCAAAAAGTAATTTAGTTCTCTTAAGTCTAAATTTGACAATATTAATATTGTTCAGTTTGAGAAAGTCTTTTTTTTAAACAAGTCTTTAAAAGTAGATTTTAGTTACCCTTTTCATGAGGCAAAGTTTTATACAGATTTCTCCTGAGATGTGTTTCTGTGTTGCTAATATCTAAAGCTTAACAATGCTATGTTTATTATTTGAAAACTTAGCATGTTTTTGATATTTGTTTCATCATAGCTCTACTTTATTTAATAAATTTGCTTCATTTTAAGGTGAAATTTTGACAGACTCCAAAGTCTTTAGCATAAATTTATAATTTATTATTTATAAATTTACAAATAATTATAAATTTATAATTAATGAAATTATCTATTGAAAAACCATTAGTGGAAAGAGTTTTGGAAGTATAGTTTTATAAAACAGATTTGAGTTTCATTTTAATATCATAGCGTTTTCTGAAGCTTTCTGTACCTCAGTTTCATCGTATGAGAAATGAGAGTAGAAATATCTATCACACAGGTTTACTATAGGCTTATATCAGATAGTGTATATGAAACTATTAAATAAATTATAAAATGCTATATATATAAGTTGTTAAACTTTGGCTGCTTCACTTTGATTTAACAAGGCCTATCTGTATAAGACACTTTAGTTGTAATATTCAGTTTTGTTAAACAGTGACATACCATTTTTGAATACAGGGTATTGCTAGGATTAAATGAGATAGTATGCCTGTTACTTAGCAATTAAATAATTGATTCTACAATATTTTTGCATTTCTTTGAAAGTGTCAAAAGAGTTTAGTTGATTCCAGAACACCAGGAGGATTTTGGAGCACCATTGAAGTCATTATCTGTATTTGTTCTATGTTATATATTAATGCCCTAGAAGGCTTCTAATCTCTAGCCCTGGACTGACTGACTGACTTTAAGACCATTTTTAAGGGGACTTAACCAAGGGACTTTACATTTAGTCTCTGTCTAAGGTGATTATCTGTTTTATCAGAATGTAGATTTTTTTTTCCCTTTATTTTAAAGTTATTCTGGTGTAGATTCTTATCATCTCATAACAAGTTTATCCCAACAGCTCTCTTGTTCATTTCTTTGACTTCATTTTTCTCCTGGCCAGAGGTCATCTTCTACTTCACCCTGGGAATTTCTCTTTTTTGGGTGTCATAAGTTAGGTAAAGATTCAACAAGTTTCAAGCCATAGAACTTCATTAAAACTTAGAACCCTATAACTAGACCTATTCTCATTTTATTTTGTATTTTAGTATCTGGATCTGGAAGAATAAGTTGTCAGTAATTTAAAGGAATAAGGAACTGAAAAAAAAAAACCCGAAAACTTTGCTTTTCTTTATCACATACTTAAAAAAAAAAAAATAAAGAAAAGCCTTTGAATTTCTGTTTCAATCATTTATTCTGTAAATACTTTTTCATAAACAACTATGTTCCGGGTATTCTGCAGGATATTGAGATAAAAAGATGAATGAATGAAACACAGTCCTGTAGCCTGAGAGACTAGTTTAATAGTTAAGACAGTTGTATAAACAATAATAACAGTGTGTGATACTTTATAACAGTGATTGAAGTTCTGTAGGAGGAGAGAGCAGGTGATATTTGTGATATATGAGCCAATTCTTAAAGAATGAAAAGACATTTGCAGTGACATGTATTCCAGACTAAGGGGGGATAGTAAAAATAAAGGCAGCTATTTGGTAATGGAAAAAACACTGTACTCTGAATCAAAAGACCTGGATGGTAGTTATCTTTCTGTTATCTAATTTTTGAATCAGGTAGCTTACATAATATTCTTTGAGTTTTTTTCCTAATCTGTATAATAGAAATAATATATGCTTTTTTCATAGGGTATTTCAAGGATTAAATGCGATAAGATAAATATGAAGTACTTAGGTCCTCAGTAAATTTGTTTGCCCACATATTAGGTCTAAACATTTTAGCTTTCAGAATATTTTATACTCTGGCCTTATTGTTTCTTTTTAACTTTATTTTTATTTTGAATCTATTCCTTACACTGAATCCAGTCATTCTTTCTTTATTGAACAGAACAGTCTGCCTTTACTTAAGTCACCAGTATCTTTGGCAGTTCCATATATTTATGCAACCAAAATTCTATCTCAGTGCCACTCTCCTCAGCTTTAATGTCATTTCCTCAGTGAAGCTATCAGCATATACCATCTTCCATATTATGTTAATAATGTTATTATGTTAATTTCTTCTATGAATTCATATTTTGTACATATTAGTATAGATATCAATTACAGTACTCTCATACATTGTTTTATTTTAAGTATTTTTAAAAATCTGCTGCACCAAAATTTTCTGAGGGGAGGAGATTGAGTTTTAATTGGGCTGATTTTTAGCACCTACCATAATTGTGGCACATGCTCTATAAATGTGCGCAAATGAATCAGGAAGTCAATATTTTAGGCTGTTTGTTTATTCTGACTTTGTATTGTTAAATCCGTCTAGGGTTCAGTTTGCTCATTTCTGAAGGAGGATATTGGGTTAATCTAGATAATCTCTAAGGACCTTTCTACCTCTAAAATTCTACAATTAGGAAAATCTCTATAGTACCTTTTAAAATTTTTCCCCTTACTAGAATGCTTCCTACCCATCTCATCATATACCCCTTTGTTATTGTCTTCTCAAGTGCTTCTCCATGAGGCCCTCTCAAATGATTAAACATTTTGATTTTTATAGTCCTTATAGTCACTGTAACTCAATTTGTTACTGTCTTAAATTCTTTTGCATTGTTTCATATGTCATTTCCTCATCTAGCTTCTGAACTCTTAGAAGGTAGAGGTCATGTTTTGTCTTTCTGTCCTATCTAAAATCCCTAGCTTATCAAAGTCTATTATTAATAGTTGCCCATAAAATTTGATTGTTAATTATCTGGTTTCTATATATTTGGTTTGTCTAGTTTATGTATACATTATATATTATTAGAAAAACCATTTTTTGCAATATCTTCCTCCATGGTATTTTATATACAAGATTTTATAAACATCTATAGATTATTTTGTTTACTTACGATTTTAAAGGTAAGCTTGATTGTGCTCATTTGTCTCCTGAGTCAGGAGTTTATACTTCCTCCTCAAAATAAGCAGTTTTTCTGACAGTAATAGAAGCTTTAATCTCCACTTTTGACATTCGTTTTGCAGATGCTCTGCTCGTGGTACCCCAGGACCAGAAGGCAACCACATTTCAGATTTACCACTTCTAGACAGTCCCAAGTAAGATTAATTGATTAATTATGGGCCTCCAAAGCTAAGTTGCTGTTAAGCATTAAAAGAGGATGTTAAGGCTGGATGCAGTGGCTCATGGCTGTAACCCTAGAACTCTGGGAGGCCAAGGTGGGAGGATTTCTTGACGTCAGGAGTTCGAAACCAGCCTGAACAAGAGCGAGACCCCATCTCTACTAAAAATATAAAAATTAGCCAGGCACGGTGGCTCACACCTGTAGTCCAAGCTAGTGAGGAGGCTGAGGCAGGAGGATTGCTTGAGCCCAGGAGTTTGAGGTTGCTGTGAGCTAGGCTGACTCCATGGCACTCTAGCCTGGGCAACAGAGCGAGACACTGTCTCAAAATAGATAGATAGATAGATAGATAGATATGCCTGGGCAACAGAGTGAGACTCTATCTCAAAATAGATAAGAAAGTAGGTAGGTAGGAAGGTAGGTTGGTAGGTAGGTTAAGAAATTGGGAATACTTTTGGGGTTGAGTAGAATGAATTATCCGAATGCTTTCTGTTCCATAGTTTGAGTTGAATTACCCTTCTGTTTAGTTATATTGCTTCTGCTCTACCCCCATTTTCTGACATTTTCCAAAATTTTCACTGTAACTCTGAGCCAAATAAAATATTAGTTTTCCTTTTCTCTATTTCTCACCTCATCATTCTGTAATCTCTGCAAAAGCTTCCAGGTCCCCTTATATTATAGGTCACTGGAAAAAAAGGTGGCCTTGTGAAAGAGTGTTATTGCTAAAGAGTATTTCAGAGGAAGTTTTGCATGCAAAAATTTAGGAAGATGGGTGAAACTCATTATTATTCTTTCAGTCCCTGGCTGTCTTCCTCAGTGACTGCTCCTTCTGTGGTAGCCCCGGTCACTTTTGCATCTATTGTAGAAGAAGAACTACAACAGGAAGCAGCTCTTATCAGAAGTCGGGAAAAACCCTTGGCTCTGATTCAGGTAAATAACATTCCTATTAGGGTTTACTTTAGGGAAGAACTCACACTACATTTCATCCTTAGATTTTAAGAAAATAGTGTTTTGTTTGCTTTGGGCAGGTGCCTGTAGCCACCAAATAAAAAAGTAAATGCCATATAAAAATAAACTGAGGCACCTAGCAACTTAAGTGTTAATTGAAGGTATTCAGGATAATTAATGGCTAATAAATTATTATAAAGCTTGTATTTTTAGCTTTGGTGATGCTTTGGACTCTTTTAGATTTTGAAAGTGACTATTAGAAAATTTGGCAATATCTAGTGCTACACTTGGCTTCTGTATTAGTAAGAGTTCTAAGATTGTAAGCAACAGATACCAACTCTGGCTAACTTAAGGAAAAAGGAATTTATTTGAGGGCTATTAAGATTCCACAGATTTAGCTAAAAGACCAGGTTTGGAAACAGAGAGGACTCACAGTAGCACTAGAGAGCTCAGAAGCAAGACTTAGAGTACTTGTACAATAACAGAAAGTGTTCCACAGAATCAATCTGTTGGAATGAATGGATTGTAGCAATGATTTTCAGTTTCTTTTTCCTTCTGCTAAGATTCAAATTCAAGAGAGGATGGTTATCTCATTATTCTAGCTCAGACCTCAAGCTTTCTCCTTGCTAAGGAAATAGCAGAATACCTGATTTTATTCCACTGTGTTATATCTGTGGAAAGTGGTAGTTCCTCAAAAGGAAATTGGAAAACTAATATATTCCTGCTTAGTTTATAAGTAAAAGAGTAAAGAAGTCTTCTTTTTTCCTCTCCTTTTTTTCAGATTGAAGAACATGCAATACAAGATTTATTGGTTTTCTATGAAGCATTTGGCAACCCTGATGAGTTTGTCATTGTTGAAAGGACACCACAGGGACCACTGGCAGTACCTATGTGGAATAAGCATGGATGCTAGTTCACTATGGAGTTGAGATGCATTTTTCACAATTATGATTATTATAGTGGTATAAAGAAAAGCTGTGGAAAGAGTTCTTACAGATTTGGTAACAGATCATTTTAGGTAGAATAAGAAGGATCTAATTCCTTTAATACAGTTTAAACATATAATGCTTGTATGATTAAAAAATTCCTGAAAATTGTGATTTTAGTAACTTTTTATGTAAAAATGTATGAGAAGGAAAACTTACTAGGCTAAGGTTAAATAGGATTGATTCTTCTGAATAATCTTAGAAAGAAAAATATGGGTGAATTGTAAAATTTAAGTGCAGTGTATTAAAAGTAACTTTTTTATTTGAGAATTTAGAAGATTTTGCCAATATCTGTTGTCACTCTGCTTTTTTAATATGGCATTAATGAGTTTAAAATAGGAGCATCAGTCATTGCTTCTGATCCATTAATGGCCAGAGTTTTGTATTTGCTGCAATAATTGTGTCTCCATTTTTGTTGCTTTTTTCATCAGGCTGTGAATGTGTTCTAGATCTATTTAAAGCTGGACCTGCTCAAACAACATATTCAGTTTGGACGGCACATTCTTAAGTTTGCATTAAGCAATGGAGTACAGTGGAGAGGGAATAAGAACACTAATTATTCTGGACTGTTTTAGTTCAAGATAGCAGTTTCTTTATAAGATTTGGAGTCCTTGTGGGTTGTTTTTTTTTGGTAGGGAAGGAGAACCTTATAAAAGTCTAATTGTAAAAGAATCAATTTCTCAGTGTTAAAATTTTCTAAAATAAATGCTTAACTATACATACAGGAATTGAATAGTTTGGAAGAGGATTGGATTACAATAACCTTTACAATGTTGTATAATCAGAAGTTTTGTGAGCCTGTGTTATACATCTAGTGCAAAAATTGTTTTCTTTATATAAAGTATGATGTTTGGTTTGTTTTTGAGTGTTTAAATTTTTAAAAAACAAATGTTATATATGTGCTCCAATACATAGACAAATTGGGAAGGTTAATGTTCTAGTTTCTGGAAGATAAACCTAGAGTAATGTGTAGACAATTCATGACTGTAATGCAGTTGATGGAATGATGACTGAAATTAACTCAATTATGTCAGGTTTAGCTCTACCCAAAAGCAGCAGACACGTAAGCAAATGTGTAATAAAAAAATAATCTTGATCCATTTTACTATTACTACTAATGTGTTTGATATCTTGTACCATGTTGATATCTATTAGAGGAAGAATTATTAATTATTCCTCCTGATATGCTACACTAATATGTTTCAGTTGATGCTGTATTCATTCTAAGACTGCTTACAAAAGAGTTTTCCAAATTTGAACCTGTGAAAAGTTTTATGTGTGTTTGAGTAAACTGAGGAGAAATGAATTTTATAATGTTTTATTGATGTTGCAGTAAAGAGGCCTTCTGAAGTAGTTGATTTATTTCATTTGAAACTTTGATTTTTCTGTGCATATTGACATCTATAATATATAAAAGTTGCTATAAAGTGATAATTTTCTTGCTGTATTCCATGCTGCCTGGGAAACACCCTAATGGGTATTTGTTGGATGGGTTGTGAAGGGGAGGGGTAAGGGCTGACTGAGTCCATTTGTTCAAAAAGGAGCTCTTTTGCTAGTAAAGTGAAAGATAAGCACTGCTGTATACTGTATTTCTTCGTAAATTATTCCATTAAAATAGCAACCTGATATATTACTACCTAAAAGCCCAGGAAGGTTATGTGTATTTTTCTTAAAAATAACATTCTGCCCGCAGTGATTCATTCATCTCTAATCCCATAACTTCAAGAAAGACCCAATAGAATTGAAGAAAAACTAAAAACAGCCAATTTCAAAGATCAATGGATAGAGAGGTCTTCAAGATTAACCAAAACTTAAGAACTCTTAGAACTCTTAAGCATAGAAAGGTGATTATTGGGTAGGGCATTGGGATGAGGGAGCGTCAGAGGCAAAATATTTTTAAAATTTGCAAAATCAAGAGGACTACTAGTCAGGTAAAGTCAAAGTTGTTGACAAAATAGTAGGATTCAGGACTCTTATTCAAGTCCTAAAGACCCTTTTAAAATAAATTTAAGAAACCCCTGCTTTATACAAGAACAGCAACATGTAATCAATTGAAAAAGATATTGCTAATTAATATCTGAGTTGGTTGGCTATTACTCTTTTGGAGGCTAGAGTATATATATTTGTTCATGATAAGGGGGTTGATAGCTATTTCATAAAATTTTAAATCTGAAGAAGCCTTATTGATTATATTGTCTTCATTTTATAAATTGAAGAAAGTGAACTCCGGAGAAAGTGACTAATGAAAATGAAGTCATCTGTCTTTTTAGTATGGTTTCCCTGTAACTACACTAGATTGCCTCTCTGAAATTACTAATTGTCTATAGCACTTTAGCCAAGCCTAAGAAAATATAAATGACCGCTTAGTAAAAATAAATGTAACCCCAAAACTTCCAGAATTGGCAGTGTAAGAGCTATTTTCAAAACAAACTACAACAACCTTTGACCAAGCAATTGGGGCAAATGATCCAAGTTATTCATGGTAATGCCTATGTATCTTTTTGCTTGAGATAATGCTCAGTTACGTAAGGTACCAAAATTCCTGTACACGTAATCACAAAACTATATCTCAGGCTTTATGTATTTCATTTTTTTAGATGTCTTTACTTGGTTGCCTGACCAGCATTTAATTTGTGTTGAAATTGAATTCTTGCCACCCCCAAACTCATCTTTTTTTGTTTTCTTGTATCTTAATCAGTCATTCTCCCAAGTCACCCATACTGAACTTGTGGATTCCTCTTTGCCTTTTCCTCCATTTTCCCCCACGTTTATTGGTTATTCAATTTCTGTCAACTCTGTTTCTTTCTTACCTTTCATTTAATCTTTTCCATTTCATTCTTACTACCATTACTACTATGTTTTATGTCCTTATTTCTTTCTGGGAATTTTCAAATTTTTTAGTCTCAGGACCCCTCTATATGCTTAAAAATTATTGAGAACTCCAAAGAGCTTTTATTTATGTGGATTTTATCCATCCGTGTTTAATACATTCAAAATTAAACTTCTAAAATTTAATTCATTTAAAAATAAATCACACACTAATTTTTTGAGAAATAACTTATACAAATATTAGTAAGGAAAGATTGTTTTACGTACAAAAGTATATATCTATTTCAGATTTAGTTCTTTGCTGTCTGGATTGATAGAAGACCCCTAAATTCTCATCCTCTTTTACATTCAATCTGTCGCAGTACCACATGTCACATAGCCTCTTGAAACTTGAGATATTGAGAGTGAAAAAGACAAATGACATATATATTACTATGAAAACAATTTTGATCTCACCAACTCCTGAAAGGTTTGAGAAATTGGTTGAGAATCTCTGTCGTAGTCCCTTAACTTTTGTCCCTTCCTCTGTCTCCCTGGTCCAATCCATTTTACTCATCATTTTCCAATATAATACTCCCCAGACAAATCTCTACCCTGCTCTGAAAACTTAAGTTACTCCCTTTACACTTAGAGTTAGTTCATATTTTCTCAGATTGGCGTTCAGATGATTTCTTTTTATCTGAACATGTAGTGGTGGAGCCATACTTGACCTGATGTTTCTCCCAAGTATGCTTCAAGCTTTGCTTATGCCAATCTCTGCTGAAATTTTTCTTTTTACCTTTGAAATTCTACATATTCGTGATTAAAGCAATCCAAATTCTATTTCCTTTATAAAGTTTTTCTTGTTCCCCCCCGCTCTACCCTCTCAAAAATAAAACAACATAAAAATAGCATACATGAATTGACTATGTTCTCATATCCTTGTAACACTGTGCTTTTTAAGGTACTTGTCATATTCTGCCATTGTTTCTCTGTTAATCTCTGTCTCTTATTAAAATACTTTGAGGACATAGACTAGGCATTGTTTTCTTTCTTGTATACGTATGTTACATCTTTTGAAATTTTGAACCATAACACAAACAGGTAAGTGTATAATATGAAAATGCTCAATTCAGTGATGTACCAGTAGGTCAAGTGATGGACCATTAACAGCACCTCAGAGTTTCTTATTTAAATGTTTGGTAGAATTAACCAGTGAAGTCTTCTGGATATGGTCTTTCTTTGTGGGAAGATTTTTAATTCATTTTTTTAAATATATTTATGTGTTACAGGTCAGTTGAAGTTTTCTATATCTTCTTTAATCAGTTTCAATAATTTATGTCTTTCTAAGAATTTTTCCAGTACATCTAAGTTGTCTGATTTGTTGGCATAAAGTTGTTCATATTATTCCATTGTAATTCTTTTAATTTCTGAAAGGTTGGTAGTGATGTCCCTCCCACTTTCATTCTTGATTTTGGTAATCTGTATTTTCTTTTTTTTTTCCCTCGATCATATCAATGTCAATCTATTCAAAGAGCCAATTTTGAGGTTCATTGATTTTTCTCTACTTTGTTTTTCATCAGTTCTGTTCTGATCTTTATTATTTCCTTTCTCTGCTTGGTTTAGTTTTAATTTGCCATTCTTTTCCCAGATATTAAAGCTTAGATCGTTGATTTGAGATCTCTCTTTTCAAATATAGGCAGTTAGTTTAGAGCTATAAATTTCCCACTAAACACAACTTTAGCTGCATCCCATAAATTTTTATATGCCTGTGCTTTTATTTTCATTCAGTCCAAAATGTTTTCTAATTTTCTTTTGATTTTTTTGAACTATGGAGATCACTTAAAAGTATATTGTTTAATTTCCAAATATTTGGGAATTTCCCCCAAATATCCCTTTGACTATTTTTAATTTTGTTAAATTTGGAGACTATATTTTGTATTGTTTAAATCCTTTTAAATTTATAGTTGTATTTTATAGTCTAACATACGGTTTGTCCTGGAGAATGTTGCATGTATACAGGAGAAGCATACGACTGAATGGATACTAATCTCTTATGAAATCATAGCTCATAGGACTTTGTATGTTTCTTGTGTGGAGAATGCAAATTTGTCACCTATATAAAGGGCAAGAATAGATGCTAAGGAACAAAAAAGGTAACCAAGTTGGATATCTCCTATTTGACTCTCAGATCCTTTCTCCGTTCTTCCCCATACTACTCTGTCTTGTGAGGTTGAACTCTAGGACTTTATCAATCAGCTCATTTTCCCTCTGGCATCTAGTTGTTTAAGCCATTTTGGAGCAC